CAAATTATAGAGTTTTATGGGTGAAAGAGACTTTCATTTTTTATTGTTCAAATTATAGAGTTTTATGGGTGAAAGAGACTTTCATTCTTTATTATTCAAATTGTAGAGTTTTATGGGTGAAAGAGACTTTCATTCTTTATTATTCAAATTATAGAGTTTTATGAGTGAAAGAGACTTTCATTCTTTATTATTCAAATTATAGAGTTTTATAGAAGAGAAACTATTGCTAAGAATGGCGCCGTTAACTAGAGAAACTGTCAATCAGTAAAAGGGATTATCAACAGGAGTTGTGTCATGAAAAAAATCGTTATAATCACGAACGGTGCTATTTACAAGAACGAACTTGAGGAATGGTATCGCTAAGATGGGAGATCGTCGTCAATAGTGGTGCTGTGAATGGTATCGTTGATCAGAGAGGTCATTTTCAGTTATACAATTAACATGCTATGCCAAGATCAGGAGTGTTATCATTCACAATTACTGCACAATTACGAACGGTAGTTTTTTAAGGCTTGTATCTTCCATCTACGCATTAAACTTCGAAGGTAAACTAATCAGCGCAACCTACAATAATTGCGTTGATATAAGATTAGTGTTTTGTATACAAGATATGTTTAAAAAAATTTTACAAAATTTTGCTACAAAACAAAATTAAGTGCATTTCTTCCATGACTTTACGCGTTGATTTTTTTTATTATATTAAATGAATTATCTGTTTTGTTTCATCATCTGTATTGTTTCATCATTTCTATGCTGTCAGCGTGAAAACTAAGTTGCCGAACCAAAAACCATTCAAGAATTAACCAGATAGTGTTTGAGGCTTACGTATTTTCTGACGCCCGTCATAGAACTTTTCATTCTTGATGAAATGTTTGTTTGTTTTTTGAATTTCGCGCAAAGCTACACGAGGGCTATCTGCACTAGCCGTCCCTAATTTGGCAGTGTAAGACTAGAGGAAAGGCAGCTAGTCATCACCACCCACCGCCAACTCTTGCGCTACTCTTTTACCAACGAATAGGGGAATTGACCGTCACATTATAATGCTCCCACGGCTGAAAGGGCGAGCATATTTTGTGGGATGGGGATTCGAACCCGCGACCCTCAGATTGCGAGCGCCCTAACCACCTGGCCATGCCGGGCACTTGATGAAATGATTCAATGCCCTTATAAATTGTTTGTTTGTTTTTAATTATGCACAAAGCTACACAAGGGCTATCTGTACTCTGCCCACCACGGGTATCAAAACCCGGTTTCTAGCGTTGTACGTCCGCAGACATACCGCTGTGCCACTGGGGGGGCTTATAAATGCAGATAACTGTTAATGTTTTATTAACCATTACTTGTGCCTAGATCTATGTCTTGTCACACAAAAAAGCGAGCACACTGAACTATACTTACATGATATATTTTTACACATTATTGCTCTAATATGTGTTATTTGTTATTGTAATTCTAAACAATAATTAGTTACATTACAGAGTTTTACGGTACTTGTCCAAGTTGTATTTACCTGGAATCTAAACAACTTTCTCCGTTGAAACTGCAAGATAGAATAAAGTCTTTGAAACGAAGTCCATAATTTTCTATGTCTTCTCTGGAAGGAAGAAGAATCATTCCCAAGTCACTTAGGTCATAGGTTTTAGAAAGTCTAATTGCTTGTAAAAAATGTTGGGGATTTCTAAACACTTTATGAAAACCGTGAATATATTTTTCTGATTCTTCAGTATCAGTGATGTTTTTACCATAATGGATTGATTCTATTGTGGAATGGGTAAGACCTAGCTCTCCTGAATCGTACTGTTCACCAGTGGTGTTACATACACATTTCCATTCTAAGCCAATCTTTTGCCATCCGCAACTATAACCTTCGTCTTCCAGCTTTAACGCAATCGTATCGCCACATAAGGTTTCATCACAGAAACAGTACACCTTTCCTTTGTCTATTTCTAGTCTACATTTCGAAGAGTTGCATAAATCTGGTGTACAAATACATTGCCTTTCGGTCGACAGCCAGGTACACAAGGCATGTTCTGTACACATTTTCTTCGTTATACTTGTTTTCGACTGGCTGGAGAGCAACCTTAGATGCAAAAAAAAAATACTAAATTAAATAAAATATTCGGAATTTATCGTTTATAAAATCACAAATTAATAATAAACAGACTTAGGAGAGGATCTCGAATAACAAGGAATGGCATAGATCATTATTATTTTTTTAATTTGATACGAAGAGTATGGAATATAATAATAAAACTCAAGATCACACTTTTTTATTTAAACATTTGAATCCAGATATGGTCAATTTTAATTAAGATGTTTTTGTTGTTGTTTTTTTAATATCAGAAAGTAAACAGAAAGGTTAGTCTTAACTAGAAATAGTTGGGTTTCTTAGAGAGAAATCGCAGTCCTTAGATCACTGTGTTGCTTAAATGTGAATCATTCTCTTAGTAATCATCCTAAATTATAGAAGGAAGAGTTACTCATCTCTCTCCTTGGCAGCCATCTTTGAAATGTGAGCCGATATCATCTCCATAACCATTCTCAATCAGCTTAAAAGTATTACATACGATAACGCCGTTATTTGATAAACCCATATTTATATTTCACTTTTGTTATGCCAGTAACATCTACTCGAACAAAATATGTATGTTAAAAGTTTCTTTCTTTATGAGAACATTTATGAATTAATTTTCGTGCTGGCAGACATTGTAAGTAATTGTATATGGATTTTTTTTCATCTAGGTATTTCATAATGTCTGCATTATCTACACTTTCGCCAAATACTCCCAGAGTTATGTTGAAACGACAAGTCTTAGCAATCTAGAAAACAAAATAATATAATTACTGTCAGATGTTTAAAGAATAGTAACTAAAATCTGACAGTCACGAGAACAGCAGAAAATCAGGCTTGAATTATTTTCTGCACGATTAAAAGTAAACAAAAATAACAAACACCCTTAATTGCACGTGATCAAGTTTAGGTTAGGTATGATAACTTTTGGGAATGAATAGCTATAATAAATCTGCTGGAGAATAAACGAGTAACTACAGAGATTCGAAAACTGCTGGTATATTTAGATATCCTTGAGCTTTTCTGTTAACTTTACTGATGCTGTTAAATTAAAAAACATTGCTTATTCAGCTATATTAATATTCTGAGTGTTTGACGGTGTTCTAGGTCAGTGTTTCTTAACCCTTTTTGGCTCAGGACCTATTTTGTAAACATTGAAGGTCATCTTTGTCAGTAGGTAATGTTCAACTTTAGTAAGTAGGAAATACTAAAGGTGATAACTAGGCAGTATTCAACCCAGATTTGTGGTTTATGGGCTTTGTACACCATAGGGAAGTCGAACCTCGGATTTTAATGTTGTAAGTCCGTAAATTTATAACCGACCCACAGAGGGACAATGTAAAAACAAAACACACCTGGTGCACTAAATACTCACTAAACAAATTATTATCAATTTTCAAAGTCAGTTCGTGATCTTGTCACACATTCTGACGACCTATTGGTTGAGAAACGCTGCTTTAGTTTAATAAAACTTCAAAAAAAAAAGGATGTAAAATCAATTCTCCAAGATGCTCGAATTTGTTTACAAGTTCGAAAAGTGTTTAACGTCAAGTAGATAATCTCAAATACTGCAAGATTCTCGAACCTGATTGAGATTTACATGTGGCGTATAACGAGGAACATATTTTATAGTTTATAATTAGTTAAACAACTACTAATCATCTTATATTAAATGAAATATTTTAGTGCAATTTATAGTTAAGAAGCTGCAAACTATTATATTATCAGGTGAATATTCCTGAAAGTTTCAGGATGTTTTAATTTGTTAAACAGTTTTAGAATATCATATTATAAAACTAAACAATCCGGAGTGTTTCTTAGTTACGTTCTAGTAGAGTTCAAAATTTTCCTGTAATCAGATCTTCATGGTCAAAAACCTAAGATCTCCTAGTTTAGCCAAATGTATACTTAGGTATATTATACTGTATTCCAATATAGCCTATAATTGTTCGACAGATCTCGAGCATTGTCGGGGTTGAACGAGCAATAGTCGACGAAAAAGTTCCGCGACTGTCAGATGTAAATAAAATCGGTCTGTTCAAAACCGAATGTGATACACGTGTGGCAAACAGGAATATGTGCTGCAACTGGGGCGCTTACTAAACAACACATTATGTATAAATACACAAGCACATATATACGTTTATACGTGTGTGTATTTACTTATGTAACATAACTTCTATATTAACCATGGCATAAACAGGAATATGTGCTGCAACTGGGGCGCTTACTAAACAACACATTATGTATAAATACACAAGCACATATATACGTTTATACGTGTGTGTGTATTTACTTATGTAACATAACTTCTATATTAGCCATGGCATAAATGTCCCGGAAGAATGTAAACCAAGCATAAATCATTGCATGTGCCTTGCGCACGTAGTAGCTAAGCATTATTTGACAGAAAGTTCATGCGCTTAGAACAAGAGGGAGATGTTTAAAAATCCTCTATCGTCCGTACGGTAAGAAAATAACTTTAATAAAAGTATGTTGTAAGTATGAAAAGTAGACAACATTTAACAGATATCTGCCGCAAATTTTTCAACATCTTTCTAGTTTTCTGCAAATGTGTTAAGAAAGGTAAAAAATCAAATTTGACTTATTGGCTGCACTCGTAAGTTGACAATATTTAAGTTCTCTTTATATTTGGTAATATTAAGTTTCTATACAATGTTTGTTTGTTTGTTTTTAATTATGCACAAAGCTACACAAGGGCTATCTGTGCTCTGCCCACCACGGGTATCGAAACCCGGTTTCTAGCGTTGTAAGTCCGCAGACATACCGCTGTGCCACTGGGGGGCTCTATACAAGGTTGATGCAAATAGGGTAAATAGTCCATGTTTTAGAAAAGTGTACGTCTGGTATATAGGTGAATTTTCAGCAGAATAATGCTGCGGATTCAGTAATCGTGCAATATCCATAACGTTTCCTGATTATTGGATAAAAATAATTAAACAGGAATAAACGTCATGCGTACTGGTTTATCTCGCTTCCAAATAACAAAGAATGAAAGTCTCTTTCACCCATAAAACTCTACAATTTGAATAATAAAGAATGAAAGTCTCTTTCCCCCATAAAACTCTACAATTTGAATAATAAAGAATGAAAGTCTCTTTCACCCATAAAACTGTACAATTTGAATAATAAAAATGAAAGTCTCTTGCACTCGAATAACACCACTCTAGTTCTGCCGATGGTCTTCCTTGTGAGTAGCACTACTTCTGATAATGAGTTCTCTTGTTAATGACACTGTTTCTAATGGCCGTCAGTATTATGAAAGACACCATGAATAACACCACTCTAGTTCTGCCGATGGTCTTCCTTGTGAGTAGCACTACTTCTGATAATGAGTTCTCTTGTTAATGACACTGTTTCTAATGGCCGTCAGTATTATGAAAGACACCATGAATAACACCACTCTAGTTCTGCCGATGGTCTTCCTCGTGAGTAGCACTACTTCTGATAATGAGTTCTCTTGTTAATGACACTGTTTCTAATGGCCGTCAGTATTATGAAATACACCATGAATAACACCACTCTAGTTCTGCCGATGGTCTTCCTCGTGAGTAGCACTACTTCTGATAATGAGTTCTCTTGTTAATGACACTGT